TTTCCAAGTGTGTTTTATTAGTATATGGATGTTGACATTTGCTAAACCCTAGCATAACATGAACGACTGTCACAACTGACACTGACACTGAACACACACGGTCATGTATCCTCATTTGGGTTTAAGACCAAAGGGCCAACAACATCATGTTGTTGCTGCTGTTACAGATGTTTAATTTGGCTCCATCCAGCATACAATCCAAAAACAATGCAAACAATGACAAGGATATAGAGCAAAAAAAAAACAACAACAAAAAAAACCCACTAAATAAAAAATATAAAGCTATTTACTAAATGAATACAACAATTAGGCAGCACAGCAGCGCGGTGATTAGCACTGTCACCTCACAGCAACAAGGTTCTGGGTTTGAGTCCCGACCGACCCAGTGCCTTTCTGTCCGGAGTTTCTCCCTGTGCCTGTCTGGGTTCTCTCCAGGTACTTCGGCTTCCTCCCACAGTCCAAAGACATGCAGCTGATTGGTGACCGTCTGTCCGTAGGATTGAGTGTGGGTTGTGTAGTTGTTTGTCTACACGTCCTGTCTATCACAGCCCTGTGATAGACTGGTGACCTGTCCAGGGTGGACCCTGCCTCTCACCCAGTGTCAGCTGGGATTGGCTCCAGCCCATGCGACCCTATTCAGGAATAAGGGGTATAGATAATGGATGGATACAACAATTAAAATGTTAAGCTTAAAACAGTAAGTCAATTGGAATGTTGAGCTAAAAAAAACAACAAAAAGAAATGAAATCATTTACTAATATGTTTATTATCTTACATTTTACCAGTGATACCAATTCTGTTAACTTACAGTCACTTTGCAAACTGTTCATTGTGTTTGGGGCAGAAAAGGAAAAGACTTTATTGCATGTAAACTAGTTCATATTTTTGGTAGACATACAGTATGTGTTTAAAACTGTTTTGTTATCAAATTAGTGCATTTTTTGTTTCATCATTTTTGCAAGTCCACATATCTTTTCTCTCGATCTGCTTCTCACAGGGTGGCATAAACCAAACACACCCAAAACACCAAAGAAACCCAGTGTTAAGTGTGCTGACAAAAAGATAAACCGCTGAAATGAGCAAGTTGTTTCCCCTAATGTACTTGGTATGTTATGTGTAAGCTTTATAAAATACACTGTAATCCTAAATTATAATTCACCACAATGACTAGTTTCAGAATAGCATTAGTGCCAAAGCCAGTGTCTAAGTATTCCTGTGAACACAATGATCAATACTCAATCAAAATCTAAGCTAATGAGAGAACACTAAGTAAATATTTAGAGCAATACTGAAAGGTGGTGTTTTAAAAAAGTGGGTAGTGAGCAGAGAAGGTGTGATGACACTCTTCTAGGTGACACATGGTGAGGTCCCTGCTGGAAAAAAATGCTTTAATGCTTACCAAACCTGCTCTGGATAAGTACAGGTAAAAACACTGCAGCACCATATTGTGTCCACAATGTGACTGCCCAACAGCCTTGCTGGTTTTTGTTCTGGTTATGCAATCTGGAACAGAAACCAGCCGACCTAGATTGAAGACCCTCTGTCACAGGCCTTGTAGAAGACAGAGCTCTTTTGTATTTTACTGGCTTCTTATTTGTCACCAAAGACTGTTCCTAACCTCAGCCCTCTCTCTATTCAGATTGCAGGCTTTATCAACGCCATTCATCCATTTTGTGGTGACACAGAGAACCTAACGGCATTCCGCTTCTACGCCGTCAACCCCATTGTGGATCCCTGGGTCTTCATCATCTGCCGCAAGTCAGTGTTTCGCCACCTTTGCTCTCTGCTGAGCTGCCGCTTCAGCAAAGGAGCTGTGAAAACGACAGCACATTGTGCTCTGTCTTTACCCCTTGACAATCAGATACAGCGCAACCCCCAAGACATAGCAATTTCACAGAACAACGTGTTCTCCAGTTTACCTCTGTGACTCGACAGACACTGCACCCTCGGGTGTGCGAGGTGATGGACTGCAGGCTGGGTGGATCACTGAGGCAAATTTACCACATGGAAATTTAACATTTGCATACAGGATTCCTGGACTCACCATTTTGCGGCACAAAGACTTTGACCAAGAAGTGTCTGTCACAGTGGAAATCTTCCGTATGTGGCCATTTTTAAATAACTAACTTTGAAAATAATGATTGCACTAGGTCTTAAACTTCACGGACTGATGGAAAATGTTTCAAAGTTGCAGGGAGAAATGTGCCATGAAACAAACACAGCTGCGTCGTAGCACTAAAGAACACATCAAATCATATCTATGAATGATATACTGTAAAGTGAGAATATATGTACTCAGGCAAAACTACAAGGTTTAACAATATGCATGAATGTCTTCTTGTTTTCTTTCAATCAGTCTTTTCTTTAAGACACAGCCAGGTAACTCTTGTTTAGTGGATTGTCCACATTTATGGTACCTTTGATGCTGGATGCAAGTCACCCTCAACATGAAATATACGTATTATCATTATTCTGCCGCTGAGCTGATAATTTCATGTTGGTAACAGATGTACAAGATGTTTTGCAGAAAAGGTACAGATTGGTCATCCCTTTGAGGCTGAAATACTTTAGAGGTGTTTTGAGCTAAATGCTAACATCAGCATGCTAACATGCTCACAGTGACAACTGATGTTTAGCAAGAAAAACATGTACCTTGTTCACCATGTTACTTTACCATACTTGCTTGCTAATATTTGCTAAGTAGCTCAAAATACAAAGTACAGTTGAGTCTGATGGGAATGTCATTAGTTTAGCAGATATGTGGTCATAAATCAAAGTTGAACAAAGAACTCTGACCTTATAATGGTGAATTTAGGGCTCTGCAAAGTTAGCGCAATTCGTTGTCTTAGCAGCTTGGATAACTGTACCAAATGTCATGGTAATAATCAATACAATAGTTGTTTAGACCTGAGGTTGGATTTACACAGAAAGCTGGGAGGTCAGCAAGAGGCAGTAGACTTCATTCTCTTAGGGACATATCTCACAGCTATCTGTACAAGACTTTATAGCCACTCATCCAATGTTGGTTGAGATATTTCAGCCTGCACCAAAACGGCGACACTGACATATCAAATGGCTACTGCGGCTAAAAATGTTGTTTCTTAAAACAAATCTTGAATTTGAATTAGATACTTCTTGACTGCAAGCTGGAAACGGTCTTGGAAATTATCCTGGCCCTATCAGCAACAACGCTGGTTGGTCTTTTAAAAACATAACAAATAACCCATGTGTCCCTGACAGACAGCATTAATCTTTTACCCTCCACAGTTCCACCAGTAGCACAGACTATTGTGAAGTTGCAAGAATAGGAACACATACAGTACTTATACAAATATACATATATATGTATATATATGAAATATAAATAACATTTAATAATATTAATACTTATAGACTCTCTGTGGTCAGTTCAAAATGGAACAACTGGTTGTAGAAAAATGATCAAACCTGATGTTAAACCTCTGTTTAATCATCTGTTAAACCAGATCTGGTAATCTTAAATTTAAGACCTGAGAGTTGAGTTAATCAAGTTTCAAAGGCCACTTTTAGTCTTGAACTGGACTTAATTCCTGTTTGTGTTACCCAGCAATATCATTGCACTGCGTGAACATTGGACTCCACCTAACATTTAAGCTACCTATAATGATTGTCTGTGAACGTTCTTTTAATTAAAAGCCTCCTGCTTTTGAAAAACTTTGCTGCTGCAAATTGCACTGAGAACTGATCTTTTGTTGTTGCGACTTTAATGCTGTAGCTGCGGTGTAGTGTATTTATGCCTTTTCACTGTTCTGTGATGTTGTGTATCCTAATTGTGTTGGTTTGATTTATGCAGTGGACTGCAGATACAGGGATAACAGACTTTAACAGACTTAGATTTTTTTGTTTTTTTTTTGTCTGTGTTGCACAATCACTTTTCGCTTTGTCTTTGATGCTCAGTGCACATTTTGTTTTTTGAGGATATTGAGTTTTCCATGCAAAATAAAGGAAAGAATACTGTATTTAAAAAATAGTACTCATTCTATGGTACACATTTTATTCATGTAAAATAAAATATTAAGCAACAAACTCAGAACTTATGTCTACTATAATAGTACTTTGTTTTATAAGACTACCATTTGGAGATGTCAAACTATTGTGAAATTAGGAAAAAACTGGCAAACTATTGTATGTTCCAGTACACTGGGTTTTATGTGGAAGTATAGGCTGAAGAATGTACTGAAGTTCCAAAGTAGTTCTCTTACTTTGGAAATGACAGTTAGCCCATAAATGTGGTTTGAAGATACAGCAGGATTCCTTTGGATATGTTTTTATGTTCAGCATTGTAGAGAAAATACAGGATCAAGTCTTAGAGGGAATTGTCTGAATCTTGTTTTTGGCTGAAACATTTTTGTTAGGAATAAACTACAAGCAACCAGTGTCACAATGCAGTCTGAGGAAAACAAACTGGTGGGTTTGAGTTTCATTGTGGTTAGAGAGCACAGACCTATTTCAGACATGTCAACAGGAAAAGCACAGATGTAACAAACTAGGCCAATTGATTCGTCCTTAAAATGTGTTTCACCTGTGCTTTTCCTGCTGTGACAACTCAAAATGTTGAGTGGGAAAACAGTCTTTTAGAAATTCATTAGTGTAAAAATATGACAGGTTACTCATCGTCAGAAAGCTAGTGTGAATACTAGCAGATATAAGTTTGAGATGGCTCATTTCAATAAGAATGACATGCACCATTAAAAAGAAATGAGGGCTTATGTAAAGTCAATATTTGTCATCTTTCATAACCAATTTAAATATTTTAAAACCTCATGTAAAAGTCAGCACCAGCAGCTGGTGCTGCAGCACCACTGTGTGGTTACCTTGGGTATCCTTCCAAAATGTACCCTTCTACTTAAACAGTGACAGTAAACCGGCAAAAATGATTAATATGCACAAACCATTTGCTTTCTAGACTCCAAAAAAAGGTCAAGGGATTTGACCCCCCCCCCAACCTGGTGTGATGGCTGCAGCAGTTTCTTTTGTAAGATGTCACTTTAGTGTGATTTGGCACTATACAAATAAGATTTGATTTAATAGTTCAACTACAGCCATCAGCTTCTACATCACAGTATTTAATCTACAATAGAGCATTGTAGGTGCGGCACCACATTATTAGGGACCAGTCAGAATAGAGGGATGGATGGATGGATGGATGGATGGATGTGCAGCCAAATGGAGGTACCCAAAGGCAACCTGCTCCTGCCATCTTCCCCCCCCCCCCACTGTGACCCGAAGCACACCGTTAAAGGTTCAGGACAAGCCAGTCTGAACAGCCAAGCCAGATTTAAGCAATAGAACATGAGACCTGAGAATACCAGTTCACAGGTGCTTCCCACACAATCTGGAAGTAAGAATTGATCAAGGGCCAAGACAGATGTGCAAATCTTGTAGATTTACCCACAAACTGTCCAGTATATTCTAGAGCCAGTGACTGATGTAAACATGCTCATGGAACACTGATGACTCAAGGATATTAAAGGGAACACCAAACAAAGCCACATTGTTCTCATTTTATTTTGACTTTGGGCATGTCAGATGGTTCATTTTATTTTGACTTTGGGCATGTCAATCATAATTTAAAGACAGCATTTTGACATTCTGTGACAAGAAAACCAAATCCTAGCAGCTAGATCACAACTTTCTACAGAAGCCCAGAGTAGCTTTCTGCCTACAGTTTGATGACAATGGCTTCATGGGGCTGCAGTTCCAGTGTGTACAGAGATGCAAGCCCCTGACGATCCATTCCTGTGCTGGTCACAAACAGTCCAGTTTGAGGCAGGCTCTGGGCCCAGGCATGAGGATCCACAGCACGATGCTCAGGCCAGACATTGAGCAGAATGAGGAAGTGGACACAACCCCAGGAGCGTTGGAAGGCCAGGATCGGGTGAGAGGACAGAGTAGAGTTGGCAGAGGTGTTGAAAGGGAGGAAGGTGAAGTTGCCACACAGAAGAGGTTCTTCTCTGGCTCTGACATGGCTGAGTGAGGTAAAGAGAGCCAGAATGGAACTTGTCTCCTTGTCCTGTGGAAGGGGTGGCAGAGTTAACAGATGCTTTCAATAAGTTATAGTACATTAAACTTCAGATAACTGGCTTTACTATACAGTGATAGTCAAATTCGACATTGTGTGGTCAAGCTTTTATACCGCTACACAAGCTCTCAAAATAACTGTTTAGACTTGCTCTCAAAGCAGGACTTCACCTGTGTTTGGTCCATCTCTTCATCATACTGGATTGCTGGTGATCCTGGCAGAGTCATCATCAGCACCAGGAGTAATTTCTTCAAGTCAGGGGATGCTTTACCTCCAATCTGCAGAGCAATACTATAGCTATATCAAGAGCTCAAAAATGTTTCCGAAACCTTCCATTAAAGTACCAGCTTCTCAACATACGATTTGAGACTTACTGTCCAACTTGGCCATATTTTATCTTCACTCATTTGCAGGCGAGTCCTTATTGCAGCTGCCACTTCATGGGAACCAAGGTGGTGATGTGAAGATGGTAGAATTGACCTCATGACCACATCCACCAAAGTAACATTGGGCTGGGTGAAGGTGTTCAGAGGCAGTGAGTTCCTAGTTTGTTTTACAACCACAAGTCTGGAGGAGACAGGCACAGTTTAACCCTGGAGATTCATTTTATACCAAAGGCAAAATACTGACATGTTATACTACCTTTCCTCCTCCTCACTGCTGAAATCCTCCAAGACACCTCTCCACTCAAGCAGAGTCTGAAATGTCAAAGTTTATGGAAATGGCTTATGAAAACTGCTTTCAGGAAAATATATCACTTACAAGCATCACTTTACCTTTTCTGAAAAGGCCGCATCTGTATCACAGATGGCAAACCCTGCCACACCCTGATGCAACC